TATATATATATATATATATATATATAAATATATAAAGTTTCATTTTAAGTTTTTAAAGTGGTAAAAAGATGATGTGGCCCACCTTTTTCACTGGGGCTGGGAGGTGGTTGGGGGGTTGAACAGATGGGACTGCTGCTGGTGAGTCATCTGTTTACATGAAGGAAGGATGACAGTTATTTAATATAAATATCCTGCTAAACATTTACGAGCGCTTAGGTGATGTTAACTCTCTGAAGGATCAGGCTTTTTCCTGTTGACTGGTCTGGATTGTAAATATAAATTCTCAGCTCTGTGAGCTATCCGCTTGGTTTCTGTGTTAGCACGGACACACTATAGGCTCATTACAAATGCTGGGCTAATCCTCGTTTTTTTTTTTTTCTTGAAAAAATAAAATAAAAATTGCAATTTTTATATTTTTTGTTTAAGTTCTACCTGGCCGACCAGCATGATCAGTGTGATTCTGCTCCAACCTTTAGTAGGATTAACTAAGTAGTTGTAACCAGCAGATAACTAGCTTATTTTACTCAACAGGTTAATAATTAACGGATAATTTGAACTATTCATTTAATAAATCTTTCTTGAAAAACTGGGCCATGGTATTGGACACCTTTCTCAATCTCTCCTCTTTGGCCTTTCTTTCTGTTCCTTTTGGAAAACCAGACTTTGATTTTTGTGGGGCACTGCATTATTTAGCCAAGGACCGTTTTCACCATCTGCTGCTTATTTACACATTTTCCTGCTCATTTGTTTTATTAGTGGTCTCTATCTTTAATGATGTCTGTGGGGCACTAAAGACCCTGTACTAGCAAACTGCTGCTGGCAGAGTGCTGACAGCAGGATCTGATGCACCATGCAGGACATGAGGACCAAACCATTTCTTGCAAGTTTCCATTTCTTGGGATATTCTATTTATATTTGAAATATCTAGTGGGACATATGGTTTTTTTTTCTCTTCTTTGATGATCTGCATTGGATGGCGCACAGGACGTGAAATGAATATTTATAAGCATAAAACTGAAGCCAAGAGAGACGAGTGACTATTGTTTTAAAAATGTAAGGAATAGAAAGTACAGATACTTGTGTGAAAATGTAATGATTAGAAGTCAGAAGTAAAAAGAAAAATAAGTAATGGAGTAAAGTATAGATACCTAAAAAGTGTAGTTAAGCACAATAACAAAGTATTTGTACTTCGTTACTTGACACCTCTGGTGGAGACATAGGCTGCCCTTGCTTTACAAAGGGTCCTCTTGAACAACAGTAAACTATTTTTACAGACTATGTAGGATTCCGTAGGCATGTAGAGCGCCATTTTCTCTCCAGTTTCCTAGCATTTTGCTTCAGAGTGCACAGCTCTGCATTAAACCAGGGAACCAGCTTCCTATTTTTTTTAGTTTTTTAAGATGTCAAAAGCAGTACACAGAGAACTAGCAACCCATTCAACAAAATCATCAACCAGCCGCTGGAATCTCCATCCATAAATTGTTATTTTTTCACTGGGTGCATAAGAAATTATGCCTGACCTATGGTGCCTAATGGGTGAAAACATGCTGCAAATAATAAGTGCTGCAAAAACAGAACTTAGACCAGCAAATGCACACAAAAAAAAGACTAACACACAAACATAAAAAAACACTTTCAAAGGAAAAATGCTGCAAATCAGGTCAGGTCTTTATACAATATTCTGTTGTAATGTGTATAGTAATGTCCTTCAGGAGCTGATGATCATCTCCCCCCTTCATGGTCTAATTCACTTGTAATCCGGAGCTAGTTTGCAGCTTCAAATAACTTGCAACTGGTTTTGCTTGGTAAATGAGTTTGCCTTTACATCAGTTTTGTTTGTTTTTCTAATTATTTTGTTTGCTGGTCTAATTTTTGCTTGCTTTTTTGTGTTTGCAATACTTTTTGTATTTGCATAACATGTATGTATTTGCAGTGCATTAACCCCTTAGTAAACTTGCAGGCATTGCACACCTGATAAAGGGTATTGAGCATGGGCAAAATAACAGGCAGCATAATGAAAGAATCCAGTAAGGGTGAGTTTATTTAAGGAAGGATTTCAGATTTATATAGAATGCAGGTGTGGAGCAGCTGAGCCAGGAGGAGAGCAGGGAGACTGAGAAAGGACATTGATTGATCGAGCTAATGTGTGAAACATAAACTGTCAAATCTAGGACAAATTTAAACAAGGACCAAGAATAGTGCAAAATTAATTCTGTTTGCAGAACATAATAAAACAAACAACTAAGGAACTAAACACAAATTTCTAAATAATAAGGCTATAACTGAAATAAAATAACTCAAAAGCTAGGAAAGGACACAAATAAAACCCAAAACCAAAACAGTTCTCCTGGGCCCAGGGGTGGCTCTAGACCAGTTTTACGCATGGCTAGTGTTTTGTCAGGAGGGCATAAAGCATAAAAAAAAAGACGAAACAGGGCAATAGTTGGTAATTTGATTTGGCAAAAAGCCGCTCACAGCTCTAGAAACCCCAATCAGCAGATAAAAATTGTGGTCCTACCTCAATAGGTAAAGGTACAATACAATAAATATGTAAATTACAAAAATATACAGTCATATGAAAAAGTTTGGGCACCCCTATTAATCTTCATTATTTATTTTTTTTAAACATTTGGGTGTTTGCAACAGCTATTTCAGTTTGATATATCTAATAACTGATGGACACAGCAGGGCCGTGCAGAGACCACTAAAGGGGCAGGTGCTCAAAAAAAAAAAAGGGCACATCTTATCGCATTTTAGGACAGAATATTAACAAAGTCACATAGCTTTCAGAGTTTAATGAACAATGATAAATTACAAAATTGTGAGACATACAATCAAAGCTAAGGAAAATATCTACAAAGAACATAGA